TTATTATTATTATTTGTATTATTATCATTATTATTATTTTCATGAATATTTCTTCATTATGACTTCCACCTCTGACAAAATCTACCATCATTATTAAAAATATTATGCTTCCCTTCAAAGCACAATCTTTTGTTCTCTTGTGTTTTGGATAGACGGTATTATAGCACCAAATTTTTGATAACTCAGTGACAAAAAAAATATCGTATTTCCTTTTCAAAAACTTTTTAGTTATGATATACGAGTAGAATGTATATGCATTAGTGTTGGACAAATTGTTTTTTCTGAATTTTACTAATCACGAACGCTTTTTTCGGCTTTTAAATTACTACGGATTAATAATAAGTTATTCTTTATTATGAGGAAAATAATACTTACTATAAGATCCTGTGCCAAGTTTCTTTCCAGGACGAGCACCATAACCAACATCTAAAAAGTAAACATGAAAATAAATATGACTTCTACGGAGAAATCAAGATGTGCGAATCGTATGTATTTGGGATGGCATGAAAAATGGAATTCATAATTTTCTTAATGCAATCTTACTGCGTTAATATAACTAAGTGATATTTTATTTGAGGCGTGATGAAGAGACTGTAGCGTGAGGAAGATGCATACTGCAATAACTTTGTCAAAAATCAGGTAACAATTCGAATGTTAGCTTGTATTTATATTGTTTCTATTACAATTCATATATTTATATTATAGAAATGATTATTTTATAATATTGTTTTCAAAGAAAACTTTTCAGCAATTTGATTTACTTAAATATTCATTCTTTACTTCTATTATATTATCAAAATAGTAATTTAATGAACATATGGCATAAACAGATTTTACGAGCGAAATCGGAAACCGCAATAGAGTGTAAAATCAGTGAGTCATCTGAAATTATATCCAGTGTGTAAGAATTTATTGCTTCCAGGCGAGTCAATTACTTAAGTCATCAGTCCCATGAGTGTAGTGCATATTACATCAGGGAGGTCTATTTCTTGAAAACGTGGAAAACTGGGAAAAGGGAATTAGGCATCATTTTTGGAAGTCAGGGGAAAATCCTAAAATTTTGGAAGACCCATTTGAAGTCAGAAAATTCTGACGTATTTATAAATCCAGATATTATTGATAAAAAATATACAAATTTTTTGTTCCATTTCTATTTGATGAGTTTTAGTGTTATATTGTAGTTTATCAAGGAAAAATCTGACACTTGACAAATTAGTTTCTGCCTTACTTTATACTTTTCTTTAAGTGTATGAAATACTCAACAACTCTTATCAGTGATAAGATTTTTTTAATACTCTGGAAAACTGAGAAAAGTAAGAGAATTTTGTTTCAGTAAAGTGGTGGCCTCCCTGTATATCCTGGGTGTTGTATTCCTCTCCCGTTTGAACATGGGATCTGGCACCAAATTTCACGCCGGCTGGCAAGCCATATGCTCACGACATGTGTGATAATGTGTAGTATCTAGAGTGAATGGGAAAAGGTGGGAAGTACTGCCCTGGCATTCGCTTGATATTGATCGCAAAAACAACTGAAATCAGCCGATGGTAGTAGTCTTCTCTAGAATTGACTTCCTGAGCAATGATTGCCAAACTGATGAAGCATGTGAGCAACCGTACTACTACAGCTTTTAAAAATTCCTGTGAGCTACCAAATGAAACCAAGACATAAATAAAAACTTTTTCCAGATCTTACATTTGCGAATTTCCTATAAATGTACATTTCTTTCTTCCCCCTTGCAAATTTACTAAATACACATTTGTTCTGCGTGTGTTCTTTACCTGAATAAAGAAATAATTGATTTCCCACTTCGAATGAAAATGATAAGTTATTTTCTTGGTTTTCAACACTTGTCTAAAATGATATTTTGAGAATGTAATTTTTGTTTGATTACTTTGGTCTTTAATAAACTATTGTGAATCATAAGTAAAATTGATTGCGCAACTCAAGCTTCTGATGAAGGACTTACAGACGTGTACTTACCCAAGAACGTACTGGGTGTGCCTACCCGAGAACAATAGCCGTTCCATCTATTTAACTCGAAAAGTGTCAATAAAGCACTATATGCCATTATAACTGGATTGAACCACAAAGAAATCTTCGATTTTCATGTTCTTTTAAACAATTGAAAGGTTTTCAGCTCTCTAATTTCTTCAATGTAAAATAGCAATGCTCATGCATTCTTAGCCATGAGGAATTGCGTATACGTCACGGCCTATAGTGAGCATTATAATTGAGAAGAACGTACGAAACATTCTTCGATCAACTTTTGAAAACATTCAGAATGATTCAGTATCACATAAATTGTAAATTTAGAAAGACAAATTTGCTTGAAATTAGCAAATTAGTATCTAATCCTCAATAAATGTAGGAACAGAAAATTGTTGTATTTATTATAAAGTATGAAACAGAAATAAAAAGCAAAATTTCAGGATTGAGTTTTTAATGAGACAGAACCAGTCCTGTACAAAAGGGTCAAAAGGTTTAAACCCCTTGAACTTTCCCCGAGTGCGATCATTTGAAGTGTTTGGTGCATTCGACTTTTGCGCATGATTATGAAACTCACGCACGCAAGTGGAACACACACTCGGATATCACGCACTGTACCAAGACTTTCTGACGGCATTTAGCATTCAACGCGAAGGGAAGTAGAGGCTGAGGCTCAGGCAGGTGAAGGCTTCTTTAAGTGTTCCTTGAGGGGCACTCAAACTAGTAAATCTGATAACTTTAATTATTTCCGGACCCAAATTAAAATTTATATTGTCTTCTCTCTGAAGTATGAATATTTGTATTACATTTTGACGTACATGCCTGACATTTATTTTTTAACATGTTTGGTGCACATTCAATTATTTCTACACATAAATAAAACACTCTAAGGCCGATTAGATGACCTCGGGCATAGATGTATTTGTGTTTGTATTGTGTGTGCCGTCCTGTCACCCACCCCACTATCATCTTCATATCAGATCATCTCATTTCATCTTCCATACTCCAGGGCTAACAAACCCGGGGGATAAAATCGAACCCAGCTAAATGCTGATCCCCACCGAGGTAATGTTTCTGAGCCCCCGTAAATGCATGGTGCATCCACGCGAGGTTCAAGTGGAACTAATCGCGAAGGAAAAATATCCTCTAAGACTTACTTCATCACAATCTCCCCCTCCAAAGGGTGCACGCCATAGGCTTAACATTTGTGTACTTGTAGATATAGCTGACCTTGGAAGATTAGTTTTATGAGGCGGGGAGTGACCCATCCCCAAGGATTTCAATGCTAACTGAACGTAAAAGGATGAAACGCGTACAGTTCGTGACCCGTTGTTTGAGGAATTGCCTAGCGTCTACCTGAATTAGATAGAAGAAAATGAAGAAACGACCGATCAGACCTTAAATATTTCTCTTTTGGTCAACAGTAACATCCGATTCAACTATATGGCTGCTGTAGAAACTAGTGGTGCTATAATAGGATGCACTTTCTCGCCCGTATTTTCCCGCAAAATACGCGATAGGTACTAAAAGTTTCCAAAAATTCTACAGACCACATTTCAAAATCTATCTTTAAGGAACAGATTTCATTAAGAGTAAAATCCTCTAACTTTAATATTTTTATTGTAGGAAGACATCGAAAAAAATTTGAACGTTTGCAATTTTCGAAACATCATTGTTTTTAACGAACATGAGACCTGTACCATTCTCTTAAACGTTTTCCATACTGTCCATCAACAAAATTTAATTCAAAAAAATGGAGCCATATTTTCGAAAATTTTGAAAATGTCTCAGGAAAAAAGTATTCCTTCTCAAATTAAAAATCGGTTCAATTTCAAGGGCACCGCGGCATCGGCCAGACCGGTAGCGAAATAACAGGTTTGGAGAAAATGGGGCTGAACAGTTTAGCCACAAGCATTGTTCAAAGTTGGACAGACATTGAAACGGACAGACGGACGTTTTGCCGTCATTCGATATCAAGGTCCCACAAAACCTACTTTCTGACTACAACACGTGTTAGATATTTTTAAAATTTAGCTACTGAATTTATCTACTTTTTTGTTTCAAGGACCCTGTAATAGTTTAAATTAAGAAATTAAAATGCTCATAAACTAATGTTACGACATGAATTATGAAATTTTAGATCGCCAATATCTCGTAAAATAAAATGCTGTCAACAAAACCATCCGGACATTATATATGTGCATTGTTATTTTTAACAAGTTCCAAAGTTTTTTTTCGCCTGATGTGTGACAACCGATGTGTATTAACACGATTACATAAGTATAGAAGTGCCACATGATCAACATTTATATTCAAATCATGATGTAAATTAAAGAAAAATGAAATCATTCAACATGTTTTGAACTTAAAGGTTTGAAATCCTTTGAACTTGATTTAGAAAAAAGTTAACGTGAAAATTGTGTAAAGTAATACAAATTACTCCATAAGCCACATCTGCAGTGAATTTACTTCAGGAATATGTAATGTGGGAGATAAGATTTTTCATCCATAATCATTAGCAGCGTAGATGTTATCTTATATATTTTCTTCCCGCAAAATACAGGTTTCCCATTCTCTGCAGACAGTCATGTTTTCCTCCAAGTGTTAGATATAATAGATAATGGAATACAGACAGATGTCCCTATATATTCCTTGAAGTACGTTTCTAGTTTTAAAATTAAAGGGATATTGGTATATGCGTTTCACACATTATTAATCTATCAATTGTATATTAGTAGCCACAGTTTGAATGAACTAAATAATTGGAAATTTTTTTTAATAATAAAAAAGCATATAAATATACGACGAAATCTGAAGTAAATACTCTACTGAAATGTTTCTTTTCGACGTGAGTTTCAACGTCCCTCTTCCTTATGTTGTGACTAACCAACTCTCACTCTGCAAAAGGAAATTGTAAGAAGGTTGGCTAGACATCTGAAAGAAATATTCTTCATTTCTGAAGAGCATGTTAGTGTTATTCTCGGAGGCCAGTTTTTTGTACGACGAGAAAAAAACTATATTAGTTTTTTCTTCTTTCCTTAATGCAATTGCTATTAATATAAATTCATTTTCACTTTTACTTCTGGTATTTGTTTGTATTTTAATGGTTTCGTATAATAATTAAATAGATAATTCAATTAATTCATACTAAAGTTAAACAAAATTGTATTAAATTACTCACTTATTGAACTGGATTGATGCACTGTGCAATTATGGGATTTAAAAAAAATTACTAACAAAGTAGTTAGTATACTTACAATGTCTCTAATGTTGATCTACTGTAATGATGTACAAGTAAATTACACGCAATGTCAAAATAGTTCGAGTGTATTTTCTTCAAGGAGTCACTTTCTAATATCACAACTGCTTTGGAACTCTTTGTAACCTTGCTCCGTTATCATCCTATGAATCCTATGGACCAAAAAGCCTTGGAATTCTTACAATTATTTACACATGTTCCACGTGAATTTATATAAAAATTATCCTTAAATTGCAATTCACTGCTGCAAATTTGAAGGAAACTTGTATATGAAAAAAATAGAGAAATAGAATTAAAGAGCATATATTTACAAAAACTATGAATTGAATCATAAATAAATAAAATTTCTGTGACCCCCATGCACTCCTATTATGGATTGCTTCGTGTATAATGAAAAGAAAAACCCAAAGAAATTCATTCTTAAAATCTGAAATACGAGTTTCTGTATGTATCTAATTATATGATTGTAATCGCATTAGAATTTGCAATAATTGGTAATCATTGTTCTTGAGTAAATTACGTATTAATAAATTATTGAAATAATTGTTGTTATAGTTATTATTGAAGGTTGCTTTAGAAAACAATTAGAATTAAAGTTCGTATAACAATAAGGAAAGAAAGTTATATCGATAGTGCAAATATCTCCAATAATTGCGAGTTGACATGAAGTAGCGAAGATCAGGAGGATCCTCGTTCGAATCCCATTTTCTGTATTGCAGCAGATGCATACCTATATCAAGAAAAATTGCTCTCTGGATCAAATCTGATTTTCGCCTCTAGAATGTCTTCCCACCACAGCAACAAATGTAGAAGCAGTACTGCGTGTGATGAGAGGGGCACTAATCGCATTCAATCGTATTATCTTTGCCCTTTAACTAACCCTTCACACATACGCACACACACAAATCGTGAAGCTCTATTACGCAGTACCCCTACCGTATAGTCAGAGGAGAAGACCTTAAAGAAAAAACCCTGTTCGTGAACTTAGAGATAAGCCGTTCTGGAGAGCCATGTTCCGTTGCGATTGAGTTGGTGTCGCTCCTCACAATAATTGTAGTAAGCACCTACGATCATAGTAGGGTGAGAGAATCGTTCACTTCCTACATTGGCAATAGATACACAGGTTAAATCACGTATGAAAATAATGACTAGTCTCTGTTGTAAAATGATGATGATGTTGCATCACAACTAGGCAGGTATAAATTTTATCCTGGATAGATGCAATGTGTACCACAAGTATTCGATGTAGGGTGCTACTCTATATATTTCAATTATTCACAGAATGACGATCGTGTGTAAATTATCAATTTTGTGGATATAGATATCCTAACATTTTCAGAAATATTTGAAACTAAGTTAATCTCAATATAGTCTACGTATTCCAGAGTTACAAATGAACATTAAGTGTACTCAAAAGGGCATATCTCGGCAAATTGAGTTTTCAAAGCTAGTGTCTAGTGTGCTGCTACTCTAGTGGCAGTGTCTTCTGCGACACTAGTGGCTCACGACCAAATATCATCCTGGTCCATCTGAAATCACCCACGAACGATCCTTAATTCATCACTCGGCTGGAGCAGAAACCGTGTGTTCTCAGATGTCGTGAACAGCACCACTCACTTTAAGATCAACCGTAAGTGGTCGAAACACATTTCTTGTCAGGATAGGCAGAATACGCGGTTCTCTTCAGAAAACACCGTGACCATTCAGAGATTCACCCTGCCATTCACATCTCTTCAGAGATGAGTGGAGTCCCACTGAGGTCCAGAGAGATGCAAAGAGAAAACCGGGACGTGAACTACACAGGCACTATGTTGATATTAACTGGAGAATGCAACAAAATCCAGAGAGATATCAATAGGGGTGTTGCGGCGATTATCAAGGCAGAGCGAAGAGTAAGCTTCCTGGACATCAATCAAGGCTCCGCGGAGAACTACAGGGTATTACCGAGATAAGAGGAGAAATGCGATCATGGGAGCCACGGAATCACTGAAGCAACGCAGAGATCGCCGGAGCAAAGGAAAGATCACGTGAGAAAGGGAGAGCTCACCAGATAAACGAGGAATTCACCGGACAAATAGGGAGATCACCGGAGAAATAAGATCGCCAGAGAAACAGAATGACAGCAGGGACACGGAATCACCAGAAACATGTCGTCATCGCCTGAGACACGGAGTGGTCCCCAAAGCCACGAGAGGGGCTGAGCGGCTCACCTGGTGACGCGGCGCAGACGGCGCACGCGGCAAGCAGCAGTGCCAGTGCAGCGGCGTGGTGAGCCGGCAGAGAGCGACGCGCCGCCATGGTGAAGGCGCGGAGCACAGTGCCTGCGCGCGCCGCCCGCGCGGCTTTTATGCCCACTCCGCCCCCCCC